CCCGAAGTTGCCGAGATTGCAATCAAACATAATTTATATGAAGAGGCATTCGCGATATATAAAAAGTATTCGGAAGTGACAAGCGCCATAAACGTGTTGATCGAACATATTGGTAGTATCGACCGTGCATCAGAGTTTGCAGAGAAATGTGATAATCCAGAAGTATGGAGTCGCCTGGCTAAGGCACAAATTGAAGGATTGAGGATCAGAGATTCAATAGGTCTGTTCATATTTTCAATTGTCTGCATTTTGAAGGGACTTCCAATTTATGCATGATTACCATGTCACGTGACAATAGAATCATATATTCGTGCTGACGACCCGAGCAACTTTGCCGAAGTGATTGACATCGCGTCTCGAGCCGGAAAAAATGAAGATCTGATTAGATACTTGCAGATGTGTCGAAAGAAGCTTCGTGAGCCTCAGGTTGATAGTGAATTGCTATTCTCATTTGCGAAGACCGAACGATTCAACGACCTTGAGGAATTCCTTAATATGCCAAACGTTGCACAAATACAAGTAATTGGTGATCGGTGTTATGACGAAGGTTTATATACATCTGCAAAGATCCTGTTCCAAAGTATTTCAAATTGGGCCAGATTGGCTTCTACTCTTGTACATCTGAGTGAATATCAGGCTGCTGTTGACTGTGCTCGTAAGGCCAGCAGTACAAAGTAGGTTGAATATGTGATATGTAATGATGACGTGTGATCAGTTATTAACCGTTCAATTTCTATTAGCGTTTGGAAGGACGTTAACTATGCTTGTGTGCAAAATAAGGAATTCCGGTTGGCACATATCTGTGGTCTTAACCTAATCGTACACGCGGAAGAATTGCAGGTTCGTTGACTTATTATTTATTTCTTACAATTGAATTATCAAATTATTCATTTCATTTTTTCATCAATACTAGGACGTGATTCGATTATACGAGTATAATGGTTACATAGATGAACTCTTGGGCTTGCTCGAGGCTGGGTTAGGATTAGAAAGAGCTCATATGGGAATGTTCACTGAGTTAGCAATTCTTTATACAAAGTATCGACCTGAGAAAACAGATGAACATATACGCCTTTTCTGGTCTCGACTTAACATACCAAAGGTTATTCGAGCTTGTGATGAGGCTCACCTGTGGAAAGAAATGGTGTTCTTGTATGAAAATTATGATGAATTTGATAATGCGGCTCTTTCAATGATGACCCATGCCGCTGATTCTTGGGAGCATTCACGATTCAAAGAAATTATTGTCAAAGTTAGCAACCTTGAAATTTATTACAAGGTAGATTTACAAAATTAACATCATGATACTCTGCTTTAATTTTCCTTTGAATTAGTAATGCTAACTATATGGCTTAACTTTCAGGCGTTGAAATTCTACCAAGATGAACATCCACTCCTCCTTAATGATCTTTTGGTCTCTTTAACGTCTCGAATCGATCACACCAGAGTTGTTCAAATGTTTCAAAAGTCTGATAATCTTCCATTGATTAAGTCATACCTGATCTCGGTGCAAGAGGTTTGTATTTAACCTAAGTATGTAATCGTGAAATTGCAAATCTTAATTATCTTAATTTCTATAGGCAAATAATGAAGCCGTAAATAATGCGTACAACGATATACTGATCGAAGAAGAAGATTATAAATCATTGAGAGATTCCATCGATAATTTCGATAAATTTGACAACATCAAGTTGGCTCAGAGACTTGAAAAACATGAACTTTTGGAATTCCGTCGTATTGCGGCTCATCTATACAAGAAAAATAAACGTTGGGAGCAGTCTATTGCTCTTTCAAAAGAAGATCGCCTGTTCAAAGATGCAATCGAAACTGCCAGTGAATCTCGTTCAACGGAGGTCGCAGAAGAACTTTTAGAATATTTTGTGCAGATTGGAAATAAGGAATGCTTTACTGCGGCCCTTTACGCGTGTTATGACCTAGCTCGACCAGACGTAGTATTGGAATTATCTTGGAAACACGGACTTAGTGATTTTGCTATGCCATATTTAATTCAGGTTATGCGCGAATATATCACGAAGGTAAGTAAATGATTGGTATCCGTGTTGATCAGGAGTCGTTCTAAATAGGACTGATCTTTTTTTCCGCAGGTGGATACATTGGAAAAAGCTAATGCCGAAAGAACGGCTAAAGAAAAGGAGCGTGAAAAGAATGAAAATGGTATGCATCGATCATTTGTTGGATCGCAACGCATCATTGTTCGTTTTTATAGTAGTAATAATGATTAAATTACAGAAACCCCGATGATGCACCCCATCGGATTGGGAAATCCACTTATGCTAACTCAAGGACCTGGACAAGGGTATATTTTATTCGTAAAATTCCTGTTTGAATGCGTGTTCCATTCGAAATCTTATATACATAATTTATTTGACAGCGTTACTCCTCAAGGATTTGGTTCTTCATCTTATAACACTGGTTACCAGGGTTTTTAAGAATGACCAGCTCGACATGGGATTGACATTCCGCAAAATCTGATTAAAATTTGTGTGTACATATATAATAATAATAGATTTGTTTAAGGGATAAAAAATCGTTATTTTATTGTATTTTAAAAAAAATGATCTGTAATAATTGTCCGAAACAAAAGTAAATTAATAGAATATTCTATGCTCGTACCTAAATCGTGTCCGCTCTGCATGTCATTGTTACATTTGAAACAACATCCACGTGGGGAATTTCAGTACAACATAGTTTAACCATGAAAGCAGCGTGAAATTAGGGTTGGATTAAAAAAAATGGCGTCAACTCCTCGCCCAGAAGAATATATCATATCTAATCATTGTATGTTCTTTTCGTATCAACCAGAGCAAGCGTCTTTTATTACTAGTCATCCATGGGATAAAGGAATCACTGTGGCGGGCACGGTAGTTATAAGATTGCCACAAGTCACAGAAGTTCATAAAGTCTTGGTTGAATTCAAAGGTCGAGAAACTGTAAAATGGTCGAAACTCGGAAAAGTTTATTGCGAAAATATTATAGAACGTTCGGAAGTTATATGGCAATCAGAAAATTTGTGGGGATATGAATTAAAGGACGAACTTATACTACCATTTGAAATTAAAGTACCAGTAGAAATTCCAGAGTCATTTGAAACTGGTCATGGTAACGTCAAATATACACTTAAAGCGACGCTCAATACAAGTAGAGACATGAAACCGATACATATAGAAGTCCTTGTACCAATTACTAAATGGTCGAAACCATCTGTCGAAGACCTACAACCGTTAACGATAAAATCACAAAATAAAAATCGTAAAAATCTCGTCTCTTGGAGAATCATCTTACCCAAAACCTCCTGGGATTTAGGTTCCAAATTCGACTTCAAATTACAAATAGTAGGACACAATCCCGAACTCAGAGTACATAAGATTAACACGTCCCTGAAAAATTTTATTCGTTACAAGTTCGATGGTGATGATGACAGCTGGACATTTAAGAAAGAACATAGATGCTTCAAAAGAGTGATACGTAGTAAAGACATTATAATATTTCCGGAAGGAACCGATTGCATTTTTGAGGCCACAATCGAGATGCAAGTGCCTGGCGATGCAATACCGACATTTGAGACTAGATTTATGAAGATAGTCAATCAACTGCAAGTTAAAGTTTTCTATGAGAGGTCGGGTACGCACACTAT